TTTAAAATAAAACTATTAATAAAATAATAAAATGTGAAATGATAAATTGATATCTATGACTAACTTAGCTATATTAGCTAACTCTTATAATATACAATTCTAAAAAAGTAATAAAAATAATTCAATTAAAGAAATTAAAAAATCGATACTTATTATTTAAATTTATTATTGTACTTGTAATAATTGAACATATATAAAAATTGATACTTAATATATTAATATATAAAGGTATAGCACTTTTATTACAAAAGGACTTAAAATTTATAATTTATAAATTATAAATTGAAATTCTTTTTTTTTCCTCACATTTCTTTTTGGTTGCTTTCTTAATATTGTTAGCTACTTTTTATCTTATCATTCTCTTAAAGGTATTAGTTATTTTATCTTTTAATCTACTAAGTTAATTTCTTGATCAATTTTCAATTAGTATAAATTTATTATTTTTTAAAAAAATTATTTAAATCATGATTGTAATTTTTTTAACATTTAACACTTCTTTTTTTTTAAGTTGTTGCATATTTTTAGTAAAATTATTATTATTATACTTTGATTTTAATATTACATCTATTATTATGATAATAAAGGACAAATATTTAAATTATAACTCAATTGAAAATTTAATCTATCAAATAACCGTATTTTTTATTGGCTATTATCAAGAATTTTTTTTTTATTATCAATAATTTATTAAGACTGTCTGCTGTCAAGAGTTTCTTTGCTATTGTTATATCGAAAACTTCTCACTTTATTATTATTAATTGTTGAGGTACTAATTTTAGCTTTTAATTTTTTTTTTTTTGGTTGTACTATCAAAAAAAAATTGAATTTGATTACTAACAATTTATGTATATATTTATTTTTATATATGGTAAGATCTTGGATCAAATTATTATTTGTTTTTAACTTTATAACTATTCCATTTTATCAAAAAATCTATTGTAAAAAATTAGTAAAATTCTTCATCAAATACTAGATATGTATGATAGTAGTTTGCACCTATTTTTATGCATGTGATAATTATAACTAAAAATATTAAATTTTTTACATTGTCTTTGTAAAAATTAATAAAAAATATATAAAATAAATAAATTATAAATAATCATTCTAACAGGTATATTCAACGAGTAACCATGTATATCGCACGTTCTTGAAAAATGGTGCTCTTAAAAGAAAAGATAAAGTTAATGAATTTTTTGAAAGAACGTGAATTTTAGAAACGTTAAGACATAAAGTGTGAAATGTAGCGATTACATGTAATTTGATTGGTCTTGATACAATATATATATTCCCCCATTCCACTTTATTAACATTTCATCTTTTCACAATAATTAATAAAATGATTGAACACATTAATTTTCTAAAAATATATAATAGAATGTCTAAATTGCCCTTCTTAAAACTAAAAGAAAAAGGTTTTTAACTCATGGTGATCCAGGATCATGACACTTAAAATGAAATTTTTATTCAAATTTAGTAATGTCAAATTTCAGTTTCATCCTCACTTAAAATTAGTAGGTTTAACCTGAGCGAAAAATTTGAAATTTGAATTTCAAATATTTCTCTTTCATTATTTAATAATTCTAGACAAAACATTAAATGAGTGAGACTAATTTTGTTTTTACCTTATCAATTGACAAATCATTTAATTCCAAGTGTTATAGTGATTTATGAAACACAAATAATCATATGCCACTTAATATTTTTTCAACTTGATACTTTTTTGTTAAGCTACACTTAGTTACATTTGGAATCAAATTAAAAATTAAGGCATTCAAATTAAAATTAAATTAAGTAACAATTAAATAAATCATATTTGTCATACTTGAAAACTATATTCATTGTGTGTTAAGTCTAAAGAACATTTTCTACATATAAATTTCAACGAGCTAATAAGAGCATTGAAGAATAATTAAGTAGTGAAATGCATAAGTATATTGTAACATTTTCTAGAATTTTGTGTGTACAAAAATTGTTAAATTAGATCAATTAGAAAAATAAGTAGATAGGAAGTATATGTTAATCATATATCGAAAATTTTACTATCAAACGTAATTATTTTTTTAGTATCAAATAATGAGAAAATAAAATAATGTTGATAGTAGAAATATGAAAGTAAGTATTCCTTCCGTTCTATTTTATTTGTTCTATTTTATTTGCTTGTTATTCCTTTTTGAGATGTTCCAAAATGTTTGCAAGGTTTCTAAATCTGTACATTTAAATAATTATTTTTTTTCCATTATAACATTTATGATTGTTCATTAAATTAAGGACCTTTATTAATATCTTAATGAGTTAAGGGTTAAAAAGAAAAAATTAAATTTTGTTGACTAAATTCTTAATATACGTGCTTTGCTAAACTATGCAAACAAAATTGGACGGAGAGAGTATTTTGTTTGTAAGTCGAGTGGCAAAATAGTGAATAAGTATTAAAAGAATGGACAAATGGATTGGAGTAGTTAATTTATACTTTATTAAGTCATATTTAAAAATTAAATTACAATAAGACATTCAAATCGTAATTAAATGAAGTAATAATTAATTAAATTACACTTAGTCACACTTGAATCAAATTAAATTTAAAAAATCTAATTTAAATTAAATTAAGTCACACCTAAAATTAAATTAAATTAAGTAAGCATTGATTAAGTTACACTTAAGAGTTATAACTCAAATGACACATAAATATATATATTTTGGCATATGTATAAGTGAAATCCCAATGATCAATCCTTATACAAATCATTTTGACATTTTTTTAATTATATACTCCCAATTAGATAAAACTATAAAAAAATTAACCATTTAAATCATTTTTACTACCTACAAGACTTTATATCTAATAATAATTCCAATCATTTTTTCCCTAAAAAATGAATTTTTATATTTGAAATGAAAAATATAATTGTTACACAGCTCAAAACAAAATATATAATAAAAATGAATATTAAAAATATTATTGGGACTGGTTCTTGTAAAATTATTTGTAGCTTCTAACATCGTCTTTGTTCTGAAACTTTTGCTTCCTTCGATTACTACCCTAAACTATGGAATCTACAGTGTTGCTATATATAAATCTATGTTTGCACGTGTTTGTCCATTTGTGCTGTTCCTAATTAGAAAATTTGACTCTAATTTTAATGGTTGAATGTTGATTGTACATGTGAACTTTAGAAATTGGGACTGCACATTTATTTTATTTTTCTTCTAATTTTTGTCAGTTTTTCTATTTCTACTCTAAGAATATTAGGAATTCAGGGTTTTTCTTATGTAAATTGAAATTTCTTATGTTAGTTTTTGCTTACAAAATAAATAAAAATACGTTTTTTTTTCACTTTTGGAGATAAGAATTGAGAAATTCTTACTGAATGCAATCTTTTGAATATATTAAATCCAATAGCAAGATACCTAATTGTAAATATAAATGAGTGATTGAGAAAATTTTCATTTTTTTCATACAGTGTATTAGCTATGTTGGAATTTTCTTTTTCTGGTATTTACTATCCACGAAAAATAATTTAAGGATAGTCAATTAGGTGCCCAAAATAATTTCACCTAATTGTAAATATCTATAATTTTTAATCAACCAATAAAATTAAAAATTTTTTAATTAGAATATGATTAAATTATCCTTCAATTAATAAAAAACTAATAAAATTATCCTTCAACCACTAAAATTCAATAAAATAAAAATTTTACTAATTAAAATAGGAATAAATTATCTTTGATAATATTTTTAACCAATCGATAAATTTAAAGTCCGTAGAGTCGTTTTAAAAACCAAATATTCCCGTTCCTACTTTTACTTATAATCGTAGATTATAGATAGAAGTACATACGTGACGCGAGATGACCACAAGTAATAACTCTATGTTTCTTTATTAACTACCAAATGATGCAGTTTGACAAAATTTCTGAGTTGACCTTATTCTCTTGTCCAAACATAGCCAGTTTTCTACTCAACATTCTTTTCCTGCAATATGGCCATAACCATTTTTTAGTGTTGTTAAAAAAAATACCCGACACTTGCCGCCTTTTCATATCAACATAATACTAATGTGTCACTTTTGAAATATAAAATAAATAAAATAAGAATAAAATATGGCTATACCTCTATATATATATATATAGTTTCAGAAATGCCTCTTGTGATTATTTAAAAATGAAATGGGAACCCAACCGTTTTTAGAAGGTTTTTTATATTATTAAAAAATTTTTTATTTGTAACTTAAATAAATAATAATCATAAATATTACTATTGAAGAAAACTAAACCAATTTAATGAAAATTTTAAAATTTATTTTAAAAATTTATAATACTCTTAATAGTCCATCTTTCCTATTTAATTTGTCTCAAAATATAGTCCATTTTCCTTTTATGCATTATAGTTAATCATTTGTCTATTATACCCTTATTAAATTTTATCTTATTATTAATGATCCTTATTAATTCTTACTTATTACTACCTCTATTTCATACTAATACTTGTCACATTTGGAATTTCAGATCTTTTAAGAAAATAATTAAATTTATCAAAATTACAATAAATTATTGAGTAAATTGACTATTATCCTTAATTTAATACTAATTTTCTAAGAAAACTATTCAATTGAAGTAAAAATTATTGGTTATATATAAAAGGTAAACATAAAAAAAAAAGATTTATTGCTTCTTGAAAACACAAATGTGACAATATTATGGAACGGATATGATATTTCAATATAATAATTGTTTATGTGTTATTTAAGATGGACACAATAGAAAAATTTTATGAATAAAATTATTCTTTAATCATAATAATTATTATTTCTTAATTTGTATGAAAAAAGAAAATTAACTACTATCTTTTTTTGGAAGGAAGGAAGTAAAATAAAAAAACAAATTGAAAGTTTATTTAAAAAACATGTTTTTCATACGTTTAAACCAGAATTTCCGATTTTAAACAAAAACTATGGTTTCACTTTAAAAAACGAAGAATCGAATTGAAACTTTAGTGTATGGTTTCAGTTATGCTTTGAAATTAGCACAGTTGACTATGGCATGATGCCGATTTTGACCGGTTGGTTCGATTCCGGTTTGACACCCAATCATCTCTACCTATATATGCGTTTAAGGAAACGAGGCAACAATTTGAATTTCAAATCCTTGACAGTACACAACCCATTCATACCTCTGCTCGCCACTCTCAACGGTCAATCTTCCATTTGCAGATTTCACTTTACCTTCTGCAAATACGTTTGCAGATTTCGGTTCTTCGTTTCTCTCAAAGAAGTGTCAAGAAAAATATTTTCATTTGAATCAAAGGAAAATGGTAGTATCCAAATCCAGGTATGAGGAAATCCGGCAACAAAGATTGGAAGAAAACAAGAATTTCTCTCAAAGAAGTGTCAAGAAAAATATTTTCATTTGAATCAAAGGAAAATGGTAGTATCCAAATCCAGGTATGAGGAAATCCGGCAACAAAGATTGGAAGAAAACAAGAAGAGAATGGAAGAACTTAACTTGAAAAAGCTTTGTCAAGATCTCCGTACAAACAGTCCTAAATCTTCTCCAGTAAGTTTATAATATGTTTACTTTTGTATGGGTTTTTCGTGATTAAATTAGAGATTATATGATAATTTTACGTATAAATCAGGTGAAGCAGGCGAAACCAAGGCTTCCTCGGTCACCAAAAGATTTAGTGCCGGTAAGGAGGTCTACTCGTTTTGCGGACAAGCCCCCTGTTAGCTACAAGGAGGTCAGTCTCTCTCTATCTATATCTACGTAACTGTATTTACATGGCAATTTGCTGTCTGTATGATATGCTTTTGTTAGCAGTAGTGAAACTCAGGCTGTCACTTGTCATTTAAATTGTGTTTTTGATATTTTACTTTCTTGTAAACTTGAATAACTTGAGTTTTTAGGTTAGGTGGAGAGTTGCTAAAAGTTATCTTGCGTCTTTTCTATAAAGTCTGTGACGGATTTGAAAGAGAGAGAGAGAGAGAGAGAGAGAGAGAGAGAGAGACAGAAAAAAAAAAAGAGAGAGAAGAGCTGGATAACTACTAAGATGAAACAGAAAAAAAAAAAATTTATGCTTTGCAAATCCTTTTTTATGAGTAATGAATTTGTGTTTTTTTCTTCATCTTCATCTTCATCTCTTCCTTTGTCATGTGTTTATGAGAGAATTTTTTGTTATTTCAGTATTTCTTTGAGAAAACTGAAATTAAACCTTCTTTCATCTCTTATTTCCCAACTGTTTTGTTATTGTGCTCAATTTTGTTGCATAACAAATTGGATTGAAACACAAGTGTTTTTATTTTGTGGCAGATTAGACAGGAGCCTTTGGAGAGACCCATGAGGTTGGAATTTGAACACATTAGTTCAAAATTTAAGTATTTTCCAATATAGTTGATAATTTATGCCTACTATGAGATTAACTTGCAGGAGCTATGGTAGTTACCGAAGACGAGATCTAAATAATAGAATATATGCTTCTGACGATCTTAGGGAAGCTGCAATTGATAGAGCAGAACAACTTCAGTCGAGTTTAGAACCTGGTTTCCCAAGTTTTGTGAAACCCATGACTCAGTCACATGTAACTGGAGGATTTTGGCTGGTGAGAATCCAGTCATTCGCCTAATTAATATTTCATCAAGATTTATGTATAAATGAATTTTCATGTTTGGATACATTTAAAGCTTGTGGTTTTGTTAGTTTGTAATTAGAATACATTAGCTTTATTAGCTAACATCTTTGTTACTTTATATTTCATTTAGAAATTTTACCAATCTGGGTAGAATTTAGTTCAACCTAACCAATCTATATATGTAGAAGTGTAAAGTTTTAAATGAATGAAAATTTATACACCAAAATTGAAAACAGGCTTGTAGATGAATTTTCAATGTAATTTCTCTTATAACATTTTATGACAGGGTCTGCCAGTTCAGTTTTGCAAGGATAACCTTCCAAAACGTGATGAATATATCATTTTGGAGGATGAGAATGGAGATACATCAGAATCAAAATACCTTGTTGAGAAAACTGGTCTAAGTGCTGGATGGAGAGGGTTTGCTATTGACCACAAATTAGTTGATGGAGATGCATTAGTTTTCCAGCTTGTAAGCCCTAAAGAATTTAAGGTGACCTATCTAACTGATAAGATTATGGTTGATTTATTTCTTTGATCAAGGCCTAAACATTCTGGAATTTAAGTATGGCATAGCCAAATACATAAATTTACTGTGTTTCTTATCTATTTTATCCCTGTGACACCTATATCTATCTAGGGACTTTTTTTTTTATCAGGAGTTACTATATATATTTTTAAGCCCATCTGGAGCAGAGTACAAGGTAAGTGTTAAGCCTAGTAGATTGCGAAGCAAATGACAAGGCCAATAACAGTAGAAATACATAACAAATGGTGGCGGGAAGAAGAAGTGAACCCATGACTAAATCTCCACCTTAGCCACTAGGCTAAGGCTTCATTGGCCTATCAATGGACCTATTGGCTATAGTGCATAAAGTTGTTAATTTTGGCACCTGGTGTGATGAGGACACTTAGAACAAAGGAGGGTATTGCTGACCATTCATTGGAAGAAAAAAGCAAAAGAGTCCTAAATAGTAAAAAATTTTAAAATAGTGTGTATGGATATCAATAGGTAGGTACTTTCTACTAATTTTACATGCATTGCATGTTTTGCCGTCCATAGAGTCGAATACATGCGCTTAATAAAGTAATGGGTTAAATTAAAGCATTAGTTATTAAAGGCGCTTCTAAGCGCAAGGTGCATTGGGCATAGGCCTAGCGCTTCTTCCAGATAGAGGCAGGTGACGTCTCATAAAATTTATAGTTAGTTTATAGTTGATTCACTAGGTTGAGTTTACTAAATATTTCTGTGTCCTTTGGGGGTGTTTTTTAACAATCCTGAAATCAACTTGGTGAAAAATTATCGATTATGATTATTTGAGTTCACTTCGATATTTGTTCATGCTTCCAAAAATTATGCTTCTCAAAAGGTGCACTGCTTTAGTACCTAAAAAGGTTCAGGCTTCTCTCAAAAAGAGAGGGGAAAAAAGGAGTTGAGGTTCTCTTTTTGTTTTTGGTTGGAAAACTTCAGGCTTCTTTATTTCATTTTTTCAGATTACTGAATTATTTAGGCTTAGTTTGGTTAAGTTGCTCTTTTTTTTATTTTTACTTTTCGCCTTTACTTTTTGTGTTCTCTCCTTAAAAGTATATTTTAAAAATATCAAGTTTATTAGAAGGAAAATGCAATACTAAACATATAGTTACTGTATAGATGTGAATTTTACTTTAAATGAAGAAAGAAAAGACAATACAATATAACATTTCGTATTCATTCTATCAATTCCATTGACAACTACTTAATTCCCATAGGTTTACATTATAAGGGCATATGAATTAGGAGACAACGAAGACAAGGAAAATGAAGAAGTAGAACTCATTGAAGACAATGACAACGAAGACAAGGAACACAAAGAAGAAATGAATAAAGTCAACAAGGATTTGGACGTCGCACCATTGGATAGAAGAAGTTCTAAACGAATCAAAGCAAGTAATTACTTCTAATCCTTCAAGAAGTTGGTTTGCATTTAACATTTTAATGCATATTCATACCTGTAGTTAAAATAATTTGAATTGAATGCAGAAGTAGAAATAAATGGAGACAAGGAAAACAAAGAAGAAATCAATGAAGACAACAAAAAGGATTCAGACATCACGCAATTGGATAGAAGAAGTTCCAAACGAATCAAAGCAAGTAATTACTTCTAATCCTTCAAGTTGTTGGTTGCATTTGCATTATAATGCACATTAATGCATATAGTTAGAATTGCCTTTTACAAGTCATAACTGTGCAGAAATATTTCTTTCTTTTTAGGTTAAGTAAATAAAAGACATTTTCCTCAAAAAAAAAAAAAAAAAAAAAAAAAAAAATTAATGTAAATAAAAGACATTTTCCTCAAAAAAAAAAAAAAAAAAAAAAAAAAGAAAGACAAAAAAAAAAAAAAAAAAAAAAAAAAAAAAAGACATACATATTTGATTCTTTTTAGGGTGCACTAAACACATCATTCTTTATTTTGGTGTATTAGAGATACTTGAATGGCAATTGATGCGATAAATTAAGTTGAATTACTGATCTATCATCCAGTAGCCAAATGGTATCAAATAATTGATTATAGTGGAGCCTTGGCGCAACTATAGAGTTGCGCTGTTGACTTGGAGGTCACGGGTTACAGTCGTGGAAACAACCTACATTAAATCCAAAGTGGTTCGGCCGTTCCCCAGATCCCGAGCATACAGCAGGAGCTTCAAGCACTGGACTGCGCTTTTTATAGTCCTATATTATATTGAAAAAAAAAAAATTCTTAGAAAGAAGTGGGAACATAATTAAAAAATACTAATACAATTTTATTCTAAAGAATTCTCCAAGAAAACTTTTCTTGTTTATGAACTATTTATTTAACCTGTCTCATGATTGGAAAGAAAAATTCTGTGTTTTCTGGTAAATTGCAAATTCTCTTATGGCTTTATTTTTTATTTTTTATTTTTTGTTCTTTGACTGCTGCATTGATTATTGCCTTTGGCAGGTAGAAAGTAGTGCTTGACAACAAGTTTACTATACGAACGACAGAAGCTATGGCAGGCAGACCCTTTTCTTTGTGGCCTCTTGTATCACATATGCCAATGCAATGTAAAAAAGGCATCCAATGCCTCGTTCTGTAGCATAAAAAGTAAGAACTTAACTTGTCTGTAGTGTAACACTATTTTTCTTAATGGCCTTCTGTAGGTCATCTAAAAACAAATCTTGTAAGTTCTAACAACTAAGAACATGCTGCTTAATGCATACTTTAAAAAAGAAAGAACATGCCAATTAATAGATAGGTGGGATAACAACTTATACAATATTAAAATTAAGGAAATTATTATTTACTTCAATAAAGTTTGACACAATTCACTAATATGTCTCCGTTTTTGTTTTTGTCTTTGTTTCTTTATTTATCTGGTCAATTGCTGATTTAACATTTTTATCGTTTTTAGAAAATATATAAAAGTTAACTATATATATATTTTTTATTTTTAAATATATTTGATTGTTTTATCATGAATTGTTACGAAAATCTGGATGTTTCATTTACCTTTGGTTTTGTCTCTATACATAAAAATGACATTAACATAAATTGATAGGTTTGTTCCTAGATGATTTTGATATTTTCCCACTAGTACTTGTAGATGAAGGAATTAACTTTAAAATTAGTAGAGTAGATGGATTTAGGAAAGACCATGGTTGGACTCCAAACTAGAACTGAATTAAAATCAAATTGATTAAAATTGGAATCGAACCATAACCAGTGGTTTGGATCCAGACCATATGCCACAGTTTGGTTTTGGTTTATTTTTCGGAATTGAAATTGATGCTCTTAGTTTGAACTGTAAAAAAGAAAAAAGAAAACCAAATTGTTATAATTTTTTTGTTAACCTTATTTAGTCTTATTATTATTATTATTGATGCTGTAAAGTTCTGAACCTTGAAAAAAAAAAATTTCTAATTCCAATTTCAAATTGGATATGAATGGAAACTGATGGTTCAAAGATCGTTCTAAATGTTAAAGTTACAGTTACAGCTCCATTGAAGTAAAATTGATGCAAGTGTTGTTGATAGTTTTTGGAGGTATTTGTTAAAGTCATTTAGATTTTGTTGAGTTTTTTGGCAAGTTATTTGTTAAAGTCATTTAGATTTTTGTTGAAGTCAAGAGGTAGGTGAACTTACCTTGCTTTTAGATAGGTTTTGGTGACAACCTTTCCTTGACTTATGGAAGGTTGGTGAACAAACTTTAGAACTAGCTCTACATAAATGTTTACATTATATGCTGTAATGGGAAAATATAAGAAAGTGAATATTTGTTTCTTCACACTTTACCAAATCTGCAACTTTTTTCATTTTCTGTTAAATTTCCTTCTCTTCCTTAATGTTTCTTGCTCTTCTAAAACCAACAAGTGTATCAGAGCAACCTTGATCTCAAAGGGCTGGTGTGTGTGTGAGTGAAAAAACCATAGAGAAAGCCACCAATATTTAACCAGAATTTTGTTGAAGTTTTCCTATTTATTTGCTTTTCCTCCAAATGGCTTCCAGCAGCATTGTCTCTTTCACCACTTCACTTTTAATGGGGGAAAACTACCCATTTTGGGGCTGTGAAGATGAAAGCTATTGAAGATGAGAGCTTATTTTAAGGGGCTTGGATTATGGCAGTATGTGGAGGAAAACAGAGTACCTCCACCTCTTAATCAAAATCCAACCCTTCAGCAGATTAGACAACGAGAAGAAGAGGTTGCTAAGGCTCCAAAAGCTCTATCCTATATCCATGCAGCTGTTGCAGATCCTATCTTCACCAAGATTATGACATGTGAGACAAAACATGAAGCTTGAGAGAAGTTAAAAATTGAGTATCATGGATCTGAAAAAACTAGACAGATGCAGATATTTAATTTAAGAAAAGAATTTGAAATGTTGAAAATGAAGGACAATAAAGGTTAAAGATTATGTTTGATAGAGTTATGAAAATTGTAAAGCCAAATTCGATTGTTGGGAGAAGAGTTTAGGAAGAGGGAGAAGAGTTAGAAGAGAAGAGAATTGCGGCGAAAGTTATGGTAACTCTCCCTGAAAAATTTGAAGCCAAGATTTCTTCTCTTGAAGATACTTGGAACATGTCACAAATATCATTGAATGTGCTTTTAAATGCTCTACAAGCTGTAGAACAAAGAAAAGCCTACAGGGAAGAAGAAACCTTGGGAGAGAAGGCTCTTGTAGTGACTCAACAACCAAAAATGAAGAACAATTTCAAAAAAAATTGGAGGAAAGACAGATTTCCACCTTGTCCACATTGCAAAAAAACAAACCACACTGAGAACTACTGCTAGTTCAGACCTAGAGCTCAATGTAAGGTTTGTAAGCAATTTGGTCACACCGAGAAAGTTTGTTCTACAAACCAGAATCAACAAACACAAGCCCATCATGCAGCACAAGTCAGCCGAAAAACTTTTGGGAAAAAGTATGGAAGAAACAACTATTTTGCTGCAAAAGAAATTCGAAAATGTGATGTTTTCAATGAAGCTAAGAAGCATGGCTTTGTTGATAGTGGCTGCACTAACAGGCTGCACTAACCACATGACACCAAACTTGGCGAATTTCGATAGCTTGGATACAAACTATTCTTCAAAAGTCAGACTTGGAGATGGTAGGCTTGTTGATGTCAAAGTCAAAGGAGATATGATTGTACAAACTCCTTCAGGTACAAAGCTTGTTTCCAATGTTCTATACGTACCGGAACTAAATCAAAGCTTATTTTCGGTTGGTCAATTGCTGGATAAGAATTACAGTTTGCTATTTAAAGATAAAACTTGTGAAATAAGTGATCCTTTTGGCTCAAAGTTATTTGCTGTCCAAATGAAACGGAGAAGCTTTCCTCTAAATTTAAGAGACTTCGAAGAAGAATCTTGCTTGAGTCATAAAGAAGAATCTGATTTGTGGCATAAGAGACGAGACTTTTGGTCACACCAATCTCAATTCATTAAAAATGCTACAATCCAAAGAAGTTAGTGCTTGTCTGAGTTTTGCGCTGAAAAAGGAATTTTAGTAGGCTACAACAGTGAATCCAAAGCCTACAGAATTTTGAATCCTGTTACTAAACATGTGTATGTCAGCAGGAGTGTCAAATTCGATGAGAAAAGTGAATGGGATTAGAGTAAAATAGAGTCAGGAAATTCTAAATCAGTTTTTGAACAAGATCTTTTTCAGCAAGAGTAAGAACTTCCAGTTGAAAATGAAAAAGAATCAGATGAAGATGATTATGCAATTAGAGGAACCAGATCCCTAGAGGAAATTTACAACAGATGTAATGTTGTCTCACTTGAACCAACGAATGAAGCCTTAAATTGCCTGAGTGGAAGCTGCCATGGAGGGGAGTTTGAAGAATATTATGAATTTTCAGCAGAAAAATCAAACTAAAATTACTTGTGACAACAAATCAGCTTGTCACTTGCGTTAAGACATCCAATCTTTCCATAAGGAAAAAAACCAAGCATACAAAAATCAAGTACCATGCAATTCATGAAGCTGAAAAGGAAAACAAAATTCAGATTGTTCATTGCAGTTCGGAAGACCAAGCAGCAGATATTTTCACCAAGGCATTGCAAAAAAATCAAGATTTGAATCTTAGGAATAGACTTGATGTTTGTCTCAACTCTTGCATCAAGGAGGAGTGTTAAAGTTACATTACAGCTCCATTGAAGTAAAATTGATGCAAGTGTTGTTGACAGTTTTTGGAGAAATCTTGTTAAAGTCATTTAGATTTTGTTGTATTTTGTTGAAGTAAGTCAAGAGGTAGGTGTAACTACCTTGCTTTTAGGGGTTTAGGTTTGGTGAACAAACCTTTCCTTTGACTTTGGAAGGTTGGTGAACAACTTTTAGACTAGCTCTACTAGTAAAATGTTTACTTATGCTGGTAATAGAAAAATTATAAGAAGTGAATATCTTGTTTCTTCACACTTTACAAAATCTGCCAAGCTCTTTTTTTTCATTTTTCTGCAGAATTTCCTTCTCTTTTTCCTTAATTTTCGCTCTTCTAAACCAACAACTTAAAGACCACTAGTTGAAAATTCCAATAAGGTGATTTTCCATATTTGTTTCTTCACACTTACAAAATCTGCAGCTTTTTTCATTTTCTGCAGAATTTCCTTCTCTTCCTTAATTTTCTGCTCTTCTAAACCAACACTAAAGACCACTTAGTTTGGAAAATTCAATAAGGTGATTCCTAAATTTGGGATGTAGAAAAGCAAATGTGATTATTCCATATTTTATGTACAGTTTGAGGCTGACTTCATTTTAATATTTATTTATTAAAGTTTGAAGATGTAAGAAATGCATTTTCTTATCTTAGAGGAAGCAAGCATGTGCTTGATTTATTGGCAGAAACTAGGAAATTAGGTGCTAAGCCTTGCAATGCATCAATGACTCAGAATTTGCAGCTTATTTGAGTTCTTTGCAGATCCTATCCCTGTAGATTGTGTACTCTGTTAGCATAGTGAGTCAGTTCATGTCTTCTCTTACTGTTATGCATTGACAAGCCTTGAGAAAGAATTGTTGTTTACTATAGAAATCACGGACATTCAAATATTGAATGTTTTACAAATGCAAAGTTCTAAGATAGACAGGAGATCAACTACAGGATATTATATTTTTATTGGAGAAAGTCCAGTATCATAACAAAGTAAGAAGTAGAATTTAGTCTTTCGATATAGTCTTTTAGGACCTTCCTTCCAACTAAATTGCGGTATGGTAACCAAGATGCTTTCTATATTACTTCTATTCATTTATTTCATATATATATATATATATAGAAAATAACAGTTTACATTGGCAAAAGCAATTACAATTTGCCACTGTTGACCTAGAAATCGGAAATTCTAGAGAGTGCTAATGCCCAATACTTTGAAATTACCTCAATAAAGAACTGGATTGCCTAGAATAAAGGGAGTTAATGAACCGCATCATAATGTCTAAGAGAAAGAAGAAGAAGATGACATTAGCAAGTGAGAGACATAGTTGATATGTCACAAATTACGTACCATGTTAGCAAGGAAACTCAAGAAGAGAAGAAAAATTGTTCAAAGAGAGCTTTTATTTCCAGGTTTAGACTTGTCTTTGATAGAACTTGTTCAATTTTAGAAGCTTATTCTTGTACAAGGTTTGATCTTTTTACTCGAAAAGATTTATTATGATATTTAATCATAAGATCATCAGCTGTTTGTTAAAATTACTCGATAAATATATTTTTAATTAGAAACTCCATACGTTGAAAAGTTAAAATGATGATGTATCCGCTTTTTATTCATGTAAATACGCATGTAACATAAACTTCAAATGGGTAGATGGTTAGATAAATATGTGCAAATTATACAAAAATAACACAAATTATTTTTTTTTATTAAAGTCCAGAGTGAATATATGCTTTCTCACGATGGGTTTTTAAGGGCTACATCGGCACTAGGGCCTGGGTGGGTTTAAGACTTTCTAAGCCCGCAGTAAGTCTAGTCTAAATCAATATGATCCTGGCTTCAGGCCAAATAACTATATTTCAATAATCGAAGTCCAATTTAATAGTCTACAGTCGTATTGAAAATACAATTTATATAATTAATACATATATCTTTATTATTCAATTGCAACTCATTTGGAATAAAACTGTGGAACTTTATAAATTACAATTGTTACATTTATCTACATTATTTATAAGTTAGCCTTTTTCTTTGGTCATTATATCAACTTATTTGTATCATTAGGGTTCTGCTTTCCTCATATTATTTGAAAAAAATAAAGAAGTAGAGATGAGCGTAAAACTCAATGAGTAGGATTAGATCACACTTTCACTCCACGCAGTCATATGTATGATAATCATATTATACAATCAGTAGTCCTCCGGCTAATTGTGAATGAACATATCACAACATACGAGCATAAGTTTCACATTTATTAAACATATCACAAATATTCAAGTAAACAAACAATGAATATTAGTTTGTGGAATCACCCATTATAAATAAGGATCATGCTCATCCCCCCCAAACATGCTCTAAATAATTTTCAAAAAGATAAATCCATGATCCCTGTGTCAAGTGCATTCAGGGAGGCCACCCGCATTTGGGCTTGATGGATCCAGTTCGTCCAATTTTACTTTCTTTTCTTTTCCTTCCCCTTTTCACTTTTCCTTTCCTTTTTGTTTTTCCTTTACCACTGATGTGCATTAATTCCTAGAGTGCACATGGGGCGCCACTCCACCTGCTTTCGTTCCACGGACGACATTCTCATCATGCCCGTGCTCTCACCCTAGGGCGACTCACATCATCCTATGTTCACAACACATTACATCACATCCAAATTACAACTATTCACAAAATTTCACATGATTCACACAGTTACGATATTCGAATTTTCAACGTATTTCATTACATATAAGTATATATGTTCCATGTAGCTCATGGCATATACGCCTATATACAATTTCTACATGTATGCATGTTTCACGTAAATATTATATTATTCATATATGCATGAATGTAAAATGCATGAGTAATTACTCATAGTTTATTTGCTTATAACAAATCATTTCTCAGCTTCTCGTTCCTTTATCAGGTGTTGAGGAAGTTCTTTAAGCCCCTAAAAACATATATAAAAGGACATAATGAGATTCTATAACTGTAAGATTTAATTCTTAAATTCTGTGTACTTTATCTTGCATTATTTGAAGATTTATGTTCACTCATTAAATCCTTTTACCATTCTTTTATTACTCATGAATTCCAACTTACTTTATACAGTTCTTGTTTCTTAATTTATATTAACTTAGTATTATTGTTCTAGATCATTATTGGCATCTAACAATAACACTAATAATGACGAATATAATAATGATATTTAACATCTTTTACTTACTTAATTAGTTTCGAATTTGATAGACGCTTTGCCGAAATCCGGCAACATCTCCCTTAAAATCGGATTAATCCTATATTTTCAAATTTTTTACATTTAAACAATAAAATGCTCATATTCATATCAACAACCAACACAATCCATCCATCGGACATGCAGTCATCAGTGAAAACAAAAGAATGTTATTAAACTTTCATTTATCATACATTTCCCACGAACACAAAATAGATATCTACCATACTTTCCCATATCATATTTTACTATACCTTACTTAATGATCTCTCCCTCCATCCAAACAAAGCGTTACAGTATTCGCTCGTCGAATTCAATTGCTGGTGGTCGGAGAACGAAGGGGAAAAGGGAAGGGAAAGCTGTCAGCATCGAGAGGGAGAAAGAGAGAGAAATGGAGGATGGTTTGGTCCAGTTCAGGTTTTATCTAAGAAATCTTCATTCGATTTGAAGAAAAACCAAGGTTTTTAGTGATTTTGAAATGGCTTTGGTTTAATATTTGGTTTTCTCCTTGGTTCAAGGTCGGTTCTTTGGTTTAAATAGCGGTTTGATGTCCTCTATATATTTTTATAGAGTTTAAAATTTCTAGATATTATAATAATTTAATATTTTAAATTCTCGAATTTAAATTTAATTTGAAAATTTTTGAATTTGATAAATCAGGTCGCTTTTAGCCAATTATTATTGCTTGGAAATTTATAACATTAATGAAGCTGACTTATGACTAAATATATAAATTCATGCCTGGATTTTACTAGAAAAGTTTACAGTATATTTTGAAAGAGGAAAGAAAATAAGAGAGGAATGATATAATGAAGGATTGTATTATTCATTTTCTCACTTTATTTTCAACACTATATATTTAAATTGGAAAGAAAATAAAAACGATGGTCGAAAAAAAAACAAATCTTTACTTGAAAATGCACAAATTATGGAGAAAAGAAAACTATACTATTATAAATTTATAATTTATCCTTAGTGATTAGTAAACAGTATATTACTTGGTGGAGTGATTTGAAAGAAGGAAGAGTTTATTACAGAATAAGACGCAGTTTTGCTTTTTTTTTTTTTTTTTTTTTTTTTTTTAAATTTATCCTAGTTGATTAGTAAACAGCTTATATTACTTTTGGTGGAGTGATTTTTGAAGAAGGAAAGAGTTTATTATCAGCAATAAGACGCCAGTTTTGCTTTTTTTTCTTCTTTTTTTTTTTTTTTGTGGGTTAAACATAACTAATGTTGGTTAGGTAAGGTTTTTTTTTTTTTTTTTTTTTTTTTTGTGGGTTAAACATAACTAATGTGGTTAGGTAAGACCCAATAAATATTTTTTTTTATTATAAACCTTAATTCTAAATTAAAATTTAATGCTAACATATCTAAATTTCAGAAGACGGTAATTTTAAAGTGATTCTGTAACAAGTTAAAAAGTTCAAAATAATTTTGTATGTTAGGCCAAACACAGAGTTAACAAAAATGTGCTAAATTATCCCATATTGATAACGAAGGAAAGGGTTAAGGGAGGGGGATGGTGTTATTCCTCCTCCATTCATTTAATAGTTAGGTTGGAGGTTGGATGGACCGGATGGGTGATAGATACTATTGAACACATTATTGTTAATCTTAGGAGCAAAAACTGTTTTATTCGTTCGATACAACAAACAAAGTCGCTCTTGGATTCTTACCCGGAACACATTTACCGCGGAGAAATACCTGCCCAGGCTCAACGAATATCTATTTCTTATGCACAAGAAATACCTTTCACATTAATGTGTAGCCCATACTCTGTAAATGTGATTTCTAGCGCACCAGATGCATTCATATCAAATGCTATTTTGCTTAAAAGTAAAATTAACAGCTGCTTGATAACCAGCATAAAAGCTGAAGGTAAGTCAGTATCTTGGGAATCTGTATAACCAATATTCTCATTCTCTCTTTAATTTATTTCTTCAATTTCACTTTTCACTTATGTATTCAACTTTGATGTGAATTATGCTTCTCATGGTCGCTTTTTGTTTAGATGGACTACAGGAATCTTTGCCAAACCTCCTCGGAATAGCTGCAAATGAAAATTTAGTTTAAGTTTTCACTAACAGCGTAAATTTATTTGTCACAAACCAATAAACAACAATGTTCGGAGAGTTTAATTCGCAGCAGATGGTCATAGTTTTGCCATTTGTTCGCTGAAGGTTGGATCCAAACAAACAACCACCTGTAAAATTTATATCATAAAACAATCAGTCTTTTTGCAAGAGAACAAGTAAATGTGTAGAAGATGAGCATGGAATATGGAGAGGACGGCTGAATACCTTGCCAACACTTTTACCCGAGTGAAGATACTCGACAGCATCTGCAACAGCTTGGACACCATTAAATCTTTTTGGGTCTATAGAAACCTGATATAATTGAATAAGTTAATCAGATCAGTTTGCAACCAGATTACTGAAGATCTCTGCATGAGATAAATCGTGCACAATCTAATCTGAATAAATATGTATAGAAACATATGCAAGCTCTTGAAAGGACTGACAACATTTTAAGTAAAAAGAGAGTTGCGTAAAACAGGATGAAAGAATCACCTTAAGCTTTCCTGTAGAGAAAATTTTAAATAGCCTGTCCAGATGCTGTTGCCACAAGTGACCATGTTGCATTAAGAAAAATCCAGCCTGCAACCATCAGCATTATCAAAACTACATCAACTAATAGATTAAAGGCTGATAGCATTTGCTTAATCCAGTAAATAAATGCAATGATCCAATCGGTCAGCCAGACATGCACGCCAAGCACACACAATAACCCATATGAAGTAGATTACTGAGAAGTCTCTAATATTGAGGAAGAAGCAAATTTTGATTTTAATAAGAGGTTTTGGTGCAAGTTAATTACATCACTTTAAGGTTAGTTAGGGAAGAGGGAAAATGATTGGAATTCTTTTTGATTTTCACAGGCCATTAGATCTTTTTATCACTGCCATTGGACAAAGAAAATACTTCGAATTTCCTGACATAGTTATCTTCAATAATTGCTAATCAGCTAGATCATATATTAAGTTAGTGCACAAGGGCAACTGATCATGGGAAGTGTTGCCAGCCATGCCAGACAACTGCACTATTTAAACACGCAGGCTGTTGTTACAACGGATGCAGAAAGAGCAAAGTTAATAACCTATAGTCAAAATAGTTTTAGATGAATCTGTCTAAGGAAATGTGTAAAATGCTATGTCATAACTGATTTCCAATGCTCAAAATCAAAAGTAAAGAGGAGCCTCTCATTTTATGTACTAAAGAAAAAATACAGCTTGGAAGAAGCTGCAGCCTATAGACATTAAGACTTTCTACAAAAACTGTGGATATATTGCCACAACCATCAGACAACTACCAGATGCTGTAGTAGAGGGATTAAACTAGTCAGCTTCGTGTCAGATGAAACCCTCAAGAACATGAAAAACCTTAACATAAGATGAAACTCTCAAGAATATAGAAAACCTTTACATATAAAGGGAGAGAATCACCCTGCAATGGAGAAATATCCTATCATCGTGACAAGGAGCCAAAAAAGATCAAAGGCAACACTTCCAAGCTTTGGTATTTGAAAGTAATGATACGTTTAGCTCTCCCCAAACTGCAGGAAGCTCAAACCCTATTTCAGTGGGAGAGGACAAGGTGGTTGGACATAAGTAACCCACAGCACACAAGGTCAATGGCAGAGGAGGAGCATGAGCGCCAAAATAATATGAAAGTCTACATATAATGGGGACTCTATAGAAAAAGTAATACAAAAGTAATTGATCTAGAGTAAGATTCTAGGCGAGTTGATTAACTTTCCAGACGCTCAACCAGTGTATGATCAAAGCACATCCATAGTCTAAAAGATACATACCACAGTTTGGCTTTTTGCTAAAATCTTCTCACAAAGCCCAGTATAATTTGATGGCATCCATCCATGCTCTCCTTGATACTGAAAATGAATATAAAGTCAGATACAGCAATCCCAATGGTGAAAATACACAGATACAAAACTATAAAAATTCATGGGGACTAGAAATTTGCAATTTATAAGATAAATTGACACCAAATATGTTGCTTTAGCTTTTCTAGATTAAAGACTAATACCAAATAACCAGTGAAATGGTACTCTACAATAATTTGAGGTGAATCATATAATTGATCATATTTTCATCTTTCAATTTTGAATAGGAATATGCATCATTAAGTTGACCCACTAGTTTGTTAAAAAATCTAAACTCAATATGAGTTGTCCATCAACTTCCACAAGTATGATGATTAATATTAGGTCTATTGCATAAATTACCCCTGAACTTCAGAGTTTTATATCTGTGGCAGACTAAAGTTTTCGAGAGACCCATCAATGCCTCTGAGGTTGCAATTTCTGTTATAAATAAGCACCTTCAGAGGCATGATAAGTCTCTAAAAACTGCAATTAGAAGTTGCACCCATCAACCTCAAGGTGCAAGGTTGTTACTAAAAATTACAACGTCAGGAACACTATAGATCTCTCGAAAACTTTAAGGTGCCACAAGGATAAAATCCTAAAGTTCAGGGCAATATTATGCATAGGCCATTAATTTTGTTACATATAAACATTAGTTGTCTAACATGAAATGGATGTTGGAATAGTATTTGCAAGTGTAACAAAAAATGACAATGAGAGAAAATAAAAGAAATACTCAAAACACCAACTATCTAGGAAGCTTGCTGAGAAACAACCTTGGAAATCATTCCAATCACAACAAGTCGTCCGTGGACTGCTAAAGAATTTAGACACAGGTCAAACATGTCACCTCCAACAGATTCATATATGATGTCAACACCTTTAGGAAACTCCTTCTGTAGAACCTGTAAATTGAATGTCGTGAGTAGTCCCAAAAATACAATAGTATATAAAAATTTGGGAAAAAAAAGATGCTAATGGTGCATGAACTTTTTGAAACTTTGTATTTGCATGTATAAAACTTTAATTATTTTTTCAACTTTGCGTGTTATGAAGTTTGAAATTTTTAAATTCGAGTATAATTGTCAGTAGCCACTATCTTCTGTTTCAAGCTTTTGTTTTTATTAATTCCAAAGATGGGACTTGTTATAGGTCCCTTAACCAAATTAACGAGGAAGAAACAAGGATTTTATGTTAAGTGACAGGATATTTGGGATAACATAAGTGAAGTTATTGGTTCATTTCAAGCCAGTAATTCTCATGAACTGAACCTCCACCAGCTCTTTCACACAATATGACATGAAAGGATAGGATAACAAAATCAAAGATGAAAAGTATAAAGTAAAGGTGCATACAGTTTTTATATTTTCAGCTTTATAATCTATGACTCGATCAACTCCCATTTCTTTCAAGAGCATTGCCTTCTCCTTACCTCCACAGGTCGCAACTACTTTATTTCCTGCCAACTTTGCAAGCTGCACATTTAACAATTCAAAACATGTACTTGTTTCCAACGTAAAAATGAAGGGGAAAAAATGAAGTATGAAAGAACAAGAAATAATTATTTTATGCTAAAAACATGGAAGATCACAATTAAATAGCAAAAATAAGTTAGGATTGAAAAATCAAACAACCTCTTTGCCAGAAAAAAGAAATCCATGTCCACAAAACAAGATGCAATGAGCTCGTGAAAGTTGGGATTGCTGTCACGCCCGACTCTAACTTTCAGAGGAATTGTCCGCTTTGGATCAAGTCAATTCCATCCGATACTGGATTGACAAGACCCGCACGGTTTTGTCCTGCAGGTGAAATGGGGAACTTCCCAGGAGGTTACCCATCCTAGGATTAGGTCACCTGTCCTAGGATTTCCGTTAAGCGAGTGTGCTTAACCCTGGAGTTCTTCCAACTCTCCAAACCATTCCACCAAAAGGTGCCTCTAATGATTAATTTCCCCATTTTCAATATATGATCCGATTTATTCCTGTGTCCTGCCATTCCACTACCTATAGCTAGCCTGCCATCCTAGAAGCTAGCCAGAAGCTTTGCTCTATCCACCCTCTTAGGATCATTTTGTCGGGTAGGGATGTCACAATTGCAGTCTGATCTACATATAAAACACACTGAAAAGCTAAACTCCCAACAGTCTAAAGTGTGCAAGCTCAGGAGTAATTTTCCTGATTATCGTAATCAATTAATCTTTGGATTGGAGTCATTATATACCCAAGCAAACAAGTAGAATTCTCCTCTCTCTCTCTCTCTCTCTCTCTCTCTCTCTCTCTCTCTTTTCTTTTTGGAAAAAGAAAGATTTCATTGCAATGAGAGGTGCTGTCAGGAGGTCATAACTAGAAGGATTCAGTGTGCGAGATTTGCAGGGAACTTCCATTTGAACAAGCATCGCCAATAAACTACGAAGCAAAAACAAGAGATTTGATTCATCATCTACTTTTTTGAACATAAACAGAGGAGCAAATGTGACCAGTTTATTTGAAACTTGTATCCAATGAAGTCACTAAAATTGGAATTTGAAACTTGTTTGTCAATGTTGATACCTGAAGTTCTGGTAAATTTTACAAATCATAATGGTCCGTTTCTTTATAAAATAGTCATCAAGAACAACATATTTGGTTATTTTTCAGCTTTAGACTGGACAAAATGCATCATCAATGCAGATACAACAACAAACCTTATGGCTTTTCCCGACAATTCAATTCCTTTGATAATCAACCAAAGAAGTTCAAACACAATGTCTGCAACATAAAGCCTCAGCTTGCATTGGATTGAGCAACAATATACAATAATATTGATATATGTCACATTTGTTTGAGATTTTTACTAACTGTAGAAGATTCTTTTAAGAAGTAGAGAAGTATGTAACCTAATAACAAACTAGCCTGGAATGACAATAAGCACACATGACTGCGGTGACGAAGAAACATTCAAAACACATACTAAGACACTCATCAAACTTGTTTATCAAAAGGATTAGTAAAAGTTAACCTGGACAGCAAATTGCCCAGTCCCTCCTGCAGCAGCAGTGACAAGAACTACTTTTCCAGATTCCATCTGTCCAGCCTAAAAGTTCCACAAAAGAAAAATATTGTCAGAGGAAACAAATGCAGTGCTTGGATGAAGGTTTTAAGTTAGAAAATAATGAGAATGTCAAGGAAAAAAAGATGAGGGAAGGTAAAATTCCACATCTAATTCAAGCAAAAAGCAAAACCTTTTCTAGAGCAATTGAAGCTGTTAAGCCTGAAGTAAGCATGGCAACAACTTCAGGATCTGGTCTTGGCACAGGAAGGATGTGTTTTGCAGGAACCTGAGTTGCATGCATCATCATGATCAGAAAACTCAGTGGCAATAGCATACATTTTACAATAAAGTAGAAATTGAAATTTAAAAAGTAGACATATAACATGAAGCAATTATTTCCAGTCATTAAAACGAATATTATCAAGGAAGTATACCACTGTAAATTCAGCATAACTTCCAGAATAAATATATCCAGCAGGAGTACCAACTTTTAAGTCACGAACAGATTCTCCCAGTGCTGCAATTATTCCCACTGCCTGGAAGGGAGAATTAAAGGGACATTAAACTTCTAAGCTGTATTGGTTTCCCCATAATTGCCAAACCCATGATCAAACACAGAATGAAGACATGATCAAATTACATCATCACATTCTTTTATGCACCTCAAAACCAGCATCAAATGGAAGTCGGGAAACAATGTCATTTTTTTTGCCAGTGAAATATCGTCCAGAACTGAAGTTTACCTGCATGCAAATTAATAGCAAGTTGTTGTAAAAATACACAGGCAGATTAATGCATGTAAAGACTATCAGATTGAGAAATGACACGTGAGTGACATAATTTGTGCCAAAAGGAGGGACAAAGCCTTGTATGGTGACACTTGATTACTGTGGAAATGAAGGCAAAAAGCTTTAAATGAGACTTCCTTTCCTCACAATTCTACCTTTTAACAAACTTTTCCATAAATATCAACAGAAATTCCAAGTAATTTAATATACGGCCAATTTGGGAGTTACAATCCAATTTCATAGGAGTCTTCATTTATACAACTAAGTCTTATAATAGTACTAAGAAATCCAAACATAGTCTGGATTGTTAGTGGCACACTTGTACTCTAATTAGAAATTTGAAAAGGGCGCTGCTGGGAGCCACGGATTATTATTCCCAGCAGCCCTCATGGGGGTTGTAAAAATTCAATTTCATTATATTAAATATATTTTACAAGAGACAATGAGTATAAAAATAGACTGAATATCAAAAAAAATTAATTGTATCTTTCTATCAATACAGTGATTATTTCGTTCAGAGAAAAACTAAACTTTTTTACTATCTAGACAATTTTTTCAACACCTGGCAGACTATCTGACGTAAACTGGTATCATTTGATTAAAAAATAAAAAATTTATAAAAAAATACATGTTCTATGGTGCAGCCTCACCCTGTCAGACTATAAGCCCCAGCATTTTCCATTTAAAAATGAGACACAAAGGGCACCCTAAATGACTAAGACACTATAAGGATCCTAGTTGCAAGACAAGGTTGGGAGTTGTCTTGGATCCCACATTAGAAGTATAGGATTTCAATACGGTATTTATATGAACATGGAGTCTCCAACCTCAAAAGCTAGCAGCTAGCTTTTAAGGTATGATTCTCCAAGGTCATAATAATTGGTATCAAAACCAACCACCACTTCTTCCAGTTGCAATCGAGGGCGGTGACTCTATAGGTGGTGATGTCAGTATTCCATTGTTTGCCTAGGGCTTTTTGTGTGTGTGTGTGGGGGGGATAAAAATAAGAAGCTCTGAATATCAAAAAAAAATTAATTGTATCTTTCTATCAATACAGTGATTATTCGTTCAGAGGAAAAAACTAAACTTTTTTACTATTCTAGACAATTTTTTCAACACCTTGGCAGACTAATCTGACGTAACTTGTATCAATTTGACTTAAAAAATTAAAAAATTTATAAAAAAAATACATGTTCTATGGTGCAGCCTCACCCTGGTCAGGGACTATTAAAGCCCGGCATTTCCAATTTAAAAAATGAGACAACAAAGTTGGCCACCCTAAATGACTTAAGAACACTTATAAGGATCCTAGTTGCAAGACAAGGTGCGAGAAGTCTGTCTTTGCGATCCCACAATAGGAAGTATAGGATTCAGATTACCGGTATTTATATAAACATGGAGTCTCCAACCTTCAAAAAAGCTTAGCATGCTAGCTTTTAAGGTATTGCATTTACTCCAAGTCACTAATAATCCTGGTACAAAAACCAACCACCACCCCAGTGCAAATCAAGCCCCGCGTGGGTGACTCTATAGGTGGTTGATGTCAGTATTCCTATTGTCCTAGGGCTTTTGTGGGGGGTGGGGGGCGGCGGGGGGGGCTTTGGCTGGGCAGACCTTGTCTTAGATCCAACATTGGAAGCATGAGATTTGAACGTGGGGTTTATACGTACTTGGACTGTTCAACCTTAATGGCTAGATTTTGAGGTATATGATTCTCCCAAGGTCATAATTGACACAGGTAAAAGTGTTGGAAGTTCAGACAGGATTAGGTAGCTATTCTTAATTTTGACCTAAGTTTCAAGTATGATGGACAGCTTATCTCTTCCCCAATATGATGAACTGTAGAGCATGGAAAACTATATTTGCCATGAGCATCTCACTTGCAAACACGAGAATAGTTTCCCAATTGACTAATAACACATAGACCACTGTTAATACAGATGCGTGCACATGATGGCACAGTTCCCCAATCAACAAACTATGTATATTACAGTTAACTCTCACACAAAAGCACAGCCCACATATACTAGTACATTCTTCTTTAAAAGAGGAATAGGGAATTCTAGACTTTGTGAAAGATAGAGGAGTAGAATAAGATGTACTGATATAGAAGGAAAAAAATAATTCAAAAGAATAAAGTTAATCTTTTCAAGTTGAGCCACAAACTTACATCACTAGCATTTACACCAGCATAAATGACTTTCACTAGAACTTGATGTGGTCCGATGGGTGATAGCAGTGGTGTGCGTACAATGCGGGTAGCTTTGCGGAAATTATGGTCCAAGGTATGTACAACTCTGCAGAGAAAATTAAAATTTATTAGTAAGCAACTGTCAGAAACTGTTAGGGTAAGACTCGATTTTGAGGTGCTCATGATAATCTGAATTGGTTACAAGTTATACGCACATAATTCCTATGAGAAAAAATAGGAGCAAGATTACAAGAACATCATATCTTACAGCAACAGGAGTGAGATTTATGGTTAAGTTCAAACCACCGCACCAGATGGCACTAAACTGAATTAGACAGCTCGATTCCATTCAGCACTAAAAGGTAACAGATAAGTTCTGAAAAGATGAATATTATTGATTATAATATATCACAAAGACTTGATCTGAAAGCAGCAGATATGATGTATGGAACTGAATCTTGAGCAAAGAATGAAATATGCCTACAAATAGGCATGGCAGAGATGATAATGCTACAATTGATGTACCAAAATGTAACAAAGGATTGGATCAGAAATTAGTTCATTCATAATAAAGGTTGGCTCAGAAATTAATTCATTTATAGACATGTGGAATTGACACCCATTGAGATAAGCTGAGAGTAGAATGATTGAGAGATGATTAGGCCATACAAAGTAGATTTGCGGATATACCATTGATGCTACTTGGGCACAGCTTTTGTTACAGGAATGAAAAAAAATATAGATAGACCAAGGATGACATGGAGTAAAGCAGGAAAGAAAGATGTAGTTTTCCTAGACATATATACAATTGTTACCCAAAACTGACCTCCAAATCACTGGTATGGCTATCGAAATTGTGAGCATCAGCATGTAGGGCGGATGCGGAGCTTGCCGGGTAAGATGCTATGGACAAACATAGTTGGTCTCAACTATATGGAAATTGAGACTAAACTACAAGGTAATAGGTCTAATAATGTATGTTTCACACAAGTTAAGAATTAACAACCAAAAAAAAAAAAAAAAAGAAGAAATAGTTATCATAAAAAGTAAACAACGAAATAAGGATTAACAAATGAAGCATAAATTAAGAAAATAAAACGATGATAAGAATGCTAACAAAACAATTTTGGAAACTAACCAAAAAGTACTCTTTTGGTTTGGTTTGGTCTAGTTTAGTTAATATTCAAAAGAACTTTTGCTTGGTCTGAAATACAAAAAAATTTTAAGTTGCAGTCTGAATCCAACATTAACTGAAACCAGTCAAACTGGCAATGCATACAGCTAAACATGAGTAATTTTAGGAGCTTGTTAGCTGTCACCTAAATGTGTGTATTATGCTCTTCAATAACCATGTTGCTAAGCATTTTCCAAGGAGTAACCAAGTAAACGATTTTACATCAATTGTTCATTTAATTATACATCTGCAACAGCTATTTTTAATTCTTTCATGTACTCTTGTGCCTTTATTGGTCTTTGTTTCTTTCTCGTTGTAAGTATGAAATAAGAATTCACTTGGGCTTTCCCAAAACCCTTTCTATTCCTTTCTCTAGTTCTAATTTTGCTATAAGACTGACACTGGAGCAACACAAACATTGCCAGTGGGTTTTAGGAATATTAAGTAGTTTTTATGTGTTTGTTCTTGGTCTTTATGATGTTCTATTTAGGATATTTTTCATAATTGCTATTCTAGATTTTTTACATTGGCAGGATAAAATATTAATTTCTTAGGAAATTTATTTTACTTGGGAAGACTACAAAAAGCTAATGTAATTCAGCTTTAGAAAAGCCTTGAGTACCAAATACTAATAAAATTTAAGACTTTCTTTGATGCAGGGGAAAAGTCTAGGGCAATTAGTTCTCAACAGTTAGGCTAGAAAGGGTGATTTTAGTGGAACAGAACAACTTAATTGGTTTTGAAGAAAACCTTAGAATTAAAATTATGAATTAATGGAGAAAAATACAATATATAAACTGATTGCTGTTGTCCTATTTATTAATTACGGGAATCCTAATTCTATACTGAAATGTATTCCTAATCAACTACTACTCTATTAAATAGGAACCCTAATTTAAAGAAGCAACCCTGAATATTCCTGATCAGTTAACATACTAGATAGAAATCTTAAATACAATACAAACAACACTATGCCTTACTCCTAAATTAGTTGGAGTCAACTATACGAATCATTTGTTTCCATTTTGCTTTATTCATAGCCACATCCTCACTAAAGTCCAGAAACAACAAATCTTTAGAAACTAATTCTCTCCATATGGTTCTAGGTCTACCTCTTCCTCGTTTAACACCTTCAACTATTAATGTATTTACACTTACAAAATGAAGCACCTGAGGTTCTACGTAGGACATGACAAACCATCTCAGACGTCCCGCATTTTATCCTCAACTTGCACTATTTGTAGCTTTTGTCGGATGTGGGCACTTATAATCTTATCCAATCTCATGTGGCTATAGATCCACCTTAACATCTTCATCTCTGCGACATTCATCTTTGAACGTGTTGAGCATTCGAGGCTCAACATTCACTCCCATATAAAGTTCTAATTTTAATTTGGATGCTCCTGCATCATTCTCCTCGTGTTTGAAAAGAACTCGGCTTCAATGAGAAAATGTTAGATATATCAGCCAACATAATAGGATCAATTCGCATAAACTTCTCCTCAGAGTATCATGTGCTTAGGGCTTTTACAAGAGCAAACAACAACATAAACCATTCAAATAATTCGTCCCTTTTCCGAGCAAGCAAAGTTGGTTCAACATAGAATTTTACTTATTTGCACTGCCTTCTTGCTTGAAGATGTATTTCAACTTCATGGGACGCTTGCATTGAACAATTTGTTTGGTTAGCTAAAGTTTCACAAGGAATGAGATTAATTGCATGATGGACATCTATTATTTGTTTTGGCAACTCGATGCTATCAATATCCATAAGCAAATACTTTCTTGAAGAATAACGGTCTTCCTTTGTCTTCTCATCTTTAGGGGTGAGCAAAACAACCGACCGAACCAAACGTTCTGTCTGATAACAACAAAGTGTGATTGTCAGTTTAATTGATGTAGCCCAAAACTTTTTTTTTTTCGACTTAGTTTTGCAAAAATCAATTGGTTAGGCTTAAAATCGAACCGAATCAGCGAAAACCAATCGAACCTAGCTGGTTCAATTTGAGTCCATTTGATTCACATATAAATTTGGTTCAAATCGATTCTACTGTCTAGAACTTCATTTTGCCTTTTTCTACATTGGTTTGATTTAATTTTGAAACAACCGACCATTGTTTCACCCTTACTCATCTTCAATATTCCAATCTTCTTATTCTTGCTCATCATAATACTCATCATAGTCTGGTTCCATAAGGTCCCTATTGTTGTCGTTGTGTTGAACATTAAAACAAAAAACTTCCTTCTCCTTTTCACTCTCCTTAGTTTCATCAACATCGATCAATGTCATGATTCTCCAATTGCCACTTTTCGAATCTATTTTAGTAGTAGAATATTTATAATTTTCAGCAATTTGAATAGGAACTTCTAAATTGAGGTCAAGAGATCTTACTAACCCCTCTTCTAATCTATGCATTCAGATTGTTCACGAATCACAAGATTATGAAACAGGTTGATGTACTCATTAACATACATGTTCTTTTGCTTCAAAGAATGGAACTTCTCAATCAATTCCAACGTATAATTAGCAGGCAAAAATTGTTTCCATAACTTAGTTTTCATGGGCTCCTAAGTGTTGATTTTAAGCTTGCCTTGTCGTTCATGTTGCTTCAACTCTATTGCACCGTGAAGTGAAACACCCTTCAATTTAAGCTTTCAAATAGTAACTTCCGATTTTCAGCCATGGGTTTTCATTCAAAGTAATTCTCTAGATCTAGCTTCCCAATCTAAATAATCCTCCACATGTAGCTTTCCCTGAATATCAGCTACTTCAGTCGTCATCCCTCCACCATTTAAATCAAAAGCATGTGGTAACCATTCTTTCAATCCACCTTGTGCTGCTAGATTTGTGCATGCAGCTTCATGACAAGGATTAACATCCTCGACTTCCTCTTCAATCTCAAGATCCTTTTGAATCTCAAGTTGTTCGTGGTTGCCTTCCAGAATCTCCATTCGAGCTTTCATAGGTTCCTAAAGTTGCAAGGCCGGTATAAACTGAGTCAAATCCTCAATCATTCGCCACATCTTAGCTAACTCAGTTTGTTGGGGTTAATTGCCTCTACCTTGACGTCTACCATTACAAAGCATCATTTAGAACAAAGAAAAAAAAAATGCAATTTAGAATCTTTTAAGCTCTAATACCATTTGATGTACTGGAAAAGTCTAGTGCAATTAATTCTCAATAATTAGACTAGAATAGGGTGATTTTAGTTAGAACAAAGTAACATAATTGGTTTCAAAGAAATGCATGGAATTAAGATTCTATATCAATAGAAAAATTAGAAAAATACAATACATAAAATGATTGTTGTTGTCGTATTTATTAATTAGGACAAATCCTAATTCTATGTTGAAACGTATTCCTAATCGACTAATACTATATTAAATAAGAATCCTAAATAAAGAAGGAAACCTGAATAATCCTTATTAATGAACATACTATATAGGAATCCTAAATAAAAAAGGAAACTAAAGAACTTCTACTTTTGACTTGGATGCTCTTGCATAATTATTTCTCTCTATTTAATTTGTTCTTCGTTTTGGTAGATTCCAATGGATTTGAGTACAGTAGTATCCTTGAAGCAACCTTCTAGGGTTTTGCTTTGGTCATCTCAGATCTATCATTGTAGATCATCCATAGTGAGATTGGAAACTTATTGGAATCGGATTCTACTAGTTTTACTCATTCATTCCACACCTTCTAAAAGTTTTTGACTCTAACATTTACACCTGCTCGTTCTATATGTTCTTTCTAAGAGAAAAAAAAAAAAAAAGAAGAAGACATTGATCACAATAAAATGAATATTCTATGCAATGCAATTGATATTGCTATTTTGCTAAAGGGGAAGATTGATTTTCAGCAATGTAATTCGATTTTGGGTTTATGTTTGATAGAAAAATATTTCCAAAAATAAATTATATCTGAAAAGAGATCCTCTCACATTTTCTCAAAGCTCTGAGGAAGTTGGAGTTTTACTGGACCTTGGAAGGACATCCTTTCCCTAGAAGATGACACCCTTTTCCTGGAAGATGAAGAACCCAATAAGTATTTTTCTTCTTCTGCGGGGGTGGGCCAATACTCCATGCCCCTACGATTTGTAATCCAAAGACAAGAGGAAGCTTTGCTCTCATCACTGATAAGCTCAAAAGCACCTAAAATTATGCAGACATTGGAATTTAAAAATTTGTTTTGAGGGGTTCAAGGAAATAACATTATAAATAAAAAAAATGTTCAATGACCATTGATATAGCCATAAAGTAGTGTCCTCAAAGAACCTCAACAAGCAAATGGTACATGTTTAAGTAGTAGCAATCTAGTAAAATGTGTAATATTTTCAGGACTTGAAAGTTATTCCATTGCAAGAAAGGTTTGCCATAAAGTATACCTTTGATCACCATTTGCATAGGAACAAAGCCCCCCATCATCTCAACAAATTTAGCACCCGCTTTTACTCCCATCTCAGTTTCAACAAACTGCATCCAACTTTTTGAAATAAATGAAATAGCAATGCAAACCCCATATAAGAGGTCGAATTGGAGTATTTTAAGTGAAAATGGAATCAGAAAACCATAAAAAGAAAACACATTCAAAAAGAATAAAATTAATTTAAGAGAAATAGCCAATGCCAATGGAAGTAAGTTTCAAATTTTGCATTTTTGCAGTCATATGGAGTATTTCTATGTGGAAAAATAAACGTATCTTCAAGAAAATCATGTCCATTAATCTGTTATGAGACAAGGTGGTCTTTTGGGATTCTATGTAGGCTTATGCTTCTGGAGCTTGAATTTTATCCAACTTGATTGGAGGGTAATATTGTTATGGAGCTGCAACATTTATTTAGTATTATTTATTGTCATGATAAGAATCAGTCTCTTTATTAGCGGCTGGTGATTAAGCAAGTTATTTATTGTAACGGGTAGTTATTATTGGGTACTGGGTAGTTTTAGCTTTGCATTTAGATGTTTAAAAGACTGAAAAGAGGAAAAATGTCAGCGGAATCTTAGACAAAGGTTCTAATTCCTAAAAATCAGAGATCATAGAGTTCTCTCTTAATGAGCTCTAAGAGATCATAGGGTTCTCTCCTGACGAGCCCTAGAGATTGTAGGTTTCCCTCTTAACGAGCCCTAATTCTATCCTTAAACTCCATTCAAGTATATACCCATAACTAGATCCAAATTTGGGACCCAACAAAATATTTTTCTAGCTTCGTTCTTGTTTCATGTTACCCCTTGTTGTTTGAGCTTTAGGAGGATTTCTTGTTGTCCAGATCATACACTCATCTCAATAATATATTCTTATCTTAACAAAAAATAAATAAATAAAGGAAACTAGCTTATGTCTTATACATTAAAATGATTTTCTGCAAAGATGCTATGATAAAGGTAAACATAAGATTTTGGACTACATAAAATTTTAAGTTATCATAGGATTGGTCTAAATTCTAAATTCAATTATGAGTATATTTTTTGGAATTTTCTTGACTAAATGAAATCAGATGAGAAGAAACAGGGAAGGGGCTCGGGTTAAAGGAAAAGAAAGAAACTTTGAATAAACCAGAGAAGAGAAAAATAATCGTAGAAGTTCAGAAATTTTCATTGTATAGTCTTACCTCAGGACAAAGCACATTAACACGAATACCTTGACGTTTGTATGGAACAAGTGATCTAGTAAACATAATAACACCACCTGAGGTAAGAAAATGTGCAAGTATCTAAGTATTCAAAAGGCTTTCACTGATGCATGTTCAGAGTTTTCTGTTCATGAATTACACTGTCTCGAATTAGGAAAATTGTGAACAAAAAGAACAAAGATTGCGAAGAAATCAGCAACGAGAAGTGACAGAAAATATCACACCTTTAGAGGCAGCATAGATAGGATCGACATACATTGGATAAAGACCTGAAGCAGACCCCAGATTTATAATGACTCCAGGTTTTTGTGCAGCTTTCATAGCATTTACCTGCTTAGATATTGTTAGTAATTATGCATTCACCAAGGGTTGTCTCAATAGACAAAAGATAATGATAATAATAATAAGAAAAATATGTGTCGTCAGGATTCTCCATTCTTGTCTCCAGCTTTTAAACCCTTCTCACCTGCTTTTATTCCTTTCTTTTTTTTTTTTTTCACCTTAGTATCATTTCTCTACTGAAAAATCACATATTACGTGCAGTATGTGCACAGTGATACATTTGACGTCGACAAAACTTTAAAGATGGAACTTAGGTGAGGATCTAGATAGGAAGTAGCTCAATGCTAAAATTGGTAGGACATCAAGTTTCACTTAATATTTACAAATCTGCAACCTGAAGACCAAAGGTCAGTAAAGTTCCAAAGTTTTGTGGCAAGTTTATGAATTTATAAAGCCCATTAATTTGACAATATTAACCACCCCAAAACAGTGATTAATTATGTAGGCAGCCAGAGTCAAAGAATTTGAAGAAAACAAATTAAAATTTTAAGCATACCGCAAGGCGAGTGCAATCAATTACTGCAACCAGGTTCACGTTAACAGTGCGCCTCCATGAATGAGCACCATCAGTTTGGTCTTCATAGAATGGTATAGAAGTACCAATACCAGCACAGTTGATACAGATATCCAATCCTCCATATGTTGCTACATGCTTCTCAAAAGCAGTAGCCAAATTTCCTGTTTTGGCAGAAAAATAGTTTCAATAAAGAGGCACCATGTCATGTTCATCATTTTTATTGTCTAGTTGAGAGGAGAAATCAACCCCAACAAATCAAGAAAATGAGAAAAATATAATTAAGAGAAAGGGAGAAAGCAATCAATGAAATCAAGTTTTGCTGAATTGTATCTTTGGTTAAATTCTATAATAATCCTCAATCATCTGTGCTGAAATTGCACTATTATTTATTTAACAAAATGATTACACAAGATTTCTGCAGATTAAAAAGAGCAGTCTTGCAAGTCATCAATCCTAAAAAAGCCAATCACAACTTTCAGAATGGAAACTGAGAAGGAAAAATATTTAATGAGAAAATTATTTTTATTTTCATAAATAATCATTGGTAACACTTACCTGTATTTGTCACATCGCATCTGACAAACTGTGCAGTTGGAAATTCCAACTTGTGATGGAACTTGGCATTCTCTTTCTCAATTAGGGATGCAACTTCCTTTCCCTTTTCTTCAGAGAAATCAACTACCGTTACAAAAATTCCCTTCTCTCCAAGAGCTAAACTAAGCGCTTTCCCTACATGTAAACCATCAACAGCAATATTAAAAAAAGCAAGCATTAGACAATTGCTACATCAAACATAGGAGTTACAAAAATTCCAAGCATAGAAAAGGTTTATAGTGTCAACTAGACCACTAAACTTAAATTTGCATCTCTGCTTACAATGCATCCAAAGTACAGAAATACTTCTTTTCAGTTTTTAAGAATAAATTACACACCAAGATTGCAAACAAAGAAAATTGGACTACTTTGAAACTGAAATCAAATAATTAAATTACAAATATAAAAAGTGATTTTGATCTAAATTTGAATCCTCCACACTATCTCTAAATCAAACATTAAATAAACTTCAAAATCAATTTTATTTAACGTCAACGAACTAGAAGTCTTTGTAATTTTTCATCAACAAAGACCTCATAGTCACTGTTCCATCACTCAAACTCAACAAGAAGCAGCAAAAATTGATAGCCAAATTCATCGCATCCATCAATAACAAGCCATAACTGAAAGCTAATTAAGATTACAGATAAATCAGTAAAATGCAAAAATCAACAGCTGAGAATTACAAATAATTAAAAGAAAGATAAATTATACAAAATCATTACCAATTCCAGAAGCGCCACCAGTGACCAAAGCGGATAAACCAGGCTTGATCTCCATTTCTCCCTTCTTCGAGTACAGAAGTGGCTACTTTCACTCTTCAGCCTAATGATAATGAGTAAGGACAGATATAGCACCGTACAAAGTGTCATTGAGTTGAATGAAAACCATAATTTGTCGTTTTGGGAATTTGGGTTTAAGACCAATGGAAGCGTAGTGTACATCATCTCCTTATCTTCAGAAGTAATTTGTCGTTTTTGGAATTTGGGTTTAAAGATCAGCGGAATCGTAGTGTATCCTTATCTTCAGGAGCTGTTAAATGCGTATAAAAAATATATCGCATCCCATAATTGCGTTAATCACTAATCACTAACTGAAGATTATATTAGGAAAAAGTCGACATTCCCTCCCATTCCTTTAAATAGTCACAGCTGAATTTGCACGGGGACGGGGGATCAAGAAATAGAAGTTTTTCATTTAACTAGTTTTTCTTTTATGTTTTTCTTAATTTGACCCCAAATTTTGCATCCCTTTTCTTCAGAATTGTGCTAGTCACTTCTGTAGACCTTATTGGAGAGTAGGCTTTCTATTTTCATCTCTATGTCCCGCACTATCTAATCATTTGCCAGGATTAATTATAAATTTGGTGACTAGATTTTGTAAAATATCATATTTTAGTATCTTAATAGAAAACGTTTGTAATTAAGTATTTGAACCTATTAAAAATTTTCAATCAAGTGTTGTTTTCTTACGTGGCATATTAAAATTCCTTTTAAGATTTGTAGGGCTCACCTAGTTATTTAAAATGTGCTAATTAGGATCCAAATAGATATAACATGTCGGATTAACGTGTTTTACACAGTCATTAACTCAATTTTAGTTACTAATTTGCCCTTATTAGAATCGTTGTGGGAAAGGGACAGGAAAATGAAGCATCGATCTAGAGATTTTGAAAGTTCTCTCAAACACAGAAAGAACAATGGAAAATTTTCTATTCTCTCAATCAAAAAAATAATTCACTTTGAAATCATTGCTGGGAAAGGGAGAATACAAGTTAAAAGAACGATCGCTCTGCTAAGGATCAAGGTTTTAAAGTTAAAGATCGAGTATTTCAAGTGCTGTAACACAAGTTAGGTTAAGACTTATGAGCAACAATTAATTTGGTTTTTTTTTTTTTTTTTTGCATTTTTTTTCAATTTTTTTATTCGAAGCCTGACATAGTATTTATTTTGGGTTTCTTCGTTAAATATCTATCACTCATGGGTTGCAATTATGGCTTTGGGTATTTGTTTTTTTTTTTTAAATGGACACGAAAGACTGTTTAGATAGGTGTTGGGTTGCGTTTGTTTGCTATTTATGATGCATGAATAGTACTTTCTTGTGAATTTGTTTGAATGGAAGTTTGTTGTTACTGAGATATGGAATCTAGGAACAGAAAGTTGAGTGCTTTTAATATGTGATTTTCTTATTGTTTTTGTTTGCTTTTTGTCTACTTTTGATTGTGAAATAGTTGCAAAATATATATAATATTAGTTAATAAAATATGATTTTCATTTTTTTTACACAGTAGGATGGCATTATCTGTAATTGATGTGTATTAAGGTGGTGTTTTCATGAATGATGAGAGGGGTGGACCTAAGGAATATGTGGGTGGGGATTTCATGGAAGTAGAGGTCGATATTGGTAATTTTTCAATGAAAACCTTCATTGACAATATACAGAAAAAAAATGGGTATTAAAGCACTTGTCCAAATGCATTACAAATCGGTTGAGGATAATGTTACACTTGGGTTTAGGGTTATTTGGAGTGGATCCATTGCAAATATGCTTGAGTTTGTAAAAAAAGGAAAAAGAATAGAGGTTTATATTGAACACCAAATATTTAGGGATAAAAGGGTAAATTCAAGTGATAGGATCTATTCCCAAATTTTTGACTTGACAAATTGGTCTGAGGGTCAATATGCTGGCGATAAAGGTGGTTTGGAAGATGAGGTTAGGGTAGGGGGAAGTGATGGGGTTGGTGGCAATGTTAATGAAGAGTTGAATGAAGCTTTCAATGAGGTAGCAAAGGGAGAGGGAGGTAATTCAACACCAGATCTTGAGGCAGTAGGGGTGAACTTAGAGAGAGAAAGTGTAGGTGTAGATTTGGGTAGTAATGAGGAAGAGTGTGTGAATGTAAATATTGGAGGTAGAGAAATACTTGTTGGGGCCGGGGAAATACCTGATATGCAAGAAGAAGAGGATGGTAATCAACATAATCCATAAGATGATGAAGATTCGATTGACTGTGAATAGTTGTCAAGTGATGATGAAGAGTTACAAGAAGCAAGACAGGTTGTGAGAAACTTTAAAGAAAGAAAGAAAAAAAGGGCAAGTGGGACTGAGTCAACATCTAATCCAGCAACTGGAAGTGTCCAACTAAATGGAGAGCTAAATACAAATGACGATGATGGTTGCCTAACTGATTATGCAGATTCTGATGGTGCAGTAAGTCTAGAAAGCAGTGATGGGGATAGAAGTGATGAAGAGCATGTTGTGAGAAGAAAAAGAAAATATAAGCCTTTGATTTCAACAAGTGAGAAGGTGCATTTTTCTTTGGGAATGACCTTCAAGAATGGGATAGAATTTAAGGAAACCGTGAGCACATTTGCTATCCAATAGAGGAGAGAAGTAAAGTTTGTGAAAAATACTGCAACTCAGTTCAGAGCAAAGTGTGTGAAGAAAGATTGTCCTGGATTAATATATGCATCAATGGAAGACGCAAGGAAAGATTTGGTTTTGAAAACACTATGACGTGAGCATACTTGCTCCATCTCTTTCAAAAATAGGATGTGTACCATTAAATGGATGACAAAGAATGTCCTGCCTAAGATCAGTGCTTGTGAAACCATGATACTCATTGATCTAAAGAAACAAGTGAAGACTGATGTTAATGTGGAAGTAAAAATTACAAAGCTAAGAAGAGCTAAGATGATTTACATAGTAAGGTTAAATGGTGACTTTAAGGGTGAATATGTAAAACTGTGAGACTATTTGGGTCAAGTGGACAAATCAAATCATGGAAGTAGTACCTATTTAGTTGTGCAAAGGCCTATCCTAGATGGACTTCCAGTGTTAAATAGGATGTATATATGTTTGGAAAACTTGAAGAAAAGGTTCTTGGCTAGTTGTAGAAAGGTTGTTGGTCTAGATGGGTGTTTTCTTAAAGGGGTAATTAAATGAGATATTAACAATAGTTGGAAGGGATGGTAATAACCAAATGTACCCTATTGCATGGGATATAGTGAATGTTAGAAAGCTAGGGAGGCCAAAGAGAAATAGATTGAGGGAAAAGGGTGAACCAAAAAGTGGGAATACCAAGTTGTTTAAGACGGGCAAGATCATGACATGCCAGGCATGTTTTCAAAAGGGGTACAGAAGGAAAACCTGCAAGTACATAGAAAGAGGTAATGGTGCACAAGAAACTAGAGGTGAGAGAATGGTGTTCATCCATACCCCAACTGTGATTGTACAAACAGAAGTGCCAGCTGATACCATGCCCAACCAATCTAATGTAACTACATCAACACAAAACCAGAGGCCTACACAGAATTAGGTTGTAATGTATTAAATGTCATTGTGTGTAGTTTTTCATTTTTTACCTTAATGTATTAAATGTCATCTAAATCAACTTGTGATTATTAGGTGATGAGAAGAAGAGGAGACAGCAGCTAGTCAAGATCTTATCAGCAACCAGCTAAGAACTATCCAGCAAGCTGAATTAAGAGGAGGCAGTCAGCCTGAAGCACTAGAAAAGAGCTATATATTCAATGAGATGAAGTACTTCAAATCAAGAAAAACATCAAGTGCCAAAAAATTGACTGGATTTGGTGCATACACTGATGGAGGAGGTAATGTGACTATCAATGTGAGTTGCTTATAAAAATTGAGCATTAGTCCTTCTTTATAATGATAAGGCATCTTATTATTGAGTGAATCCTCTTTTTTTCCCATAAAACATCCTGAAACTTCAAGTGAAAGGCATTTGACTAGAAAGATAAAGGGAGAAGAATCCTCTTGAGCCAAGTTTCATGTCTGATAAGATTGAAGGTTTTAAGAAACATGGTAACTATAACATTACTGGAAACTAGTTATAGGTATTTGAAAACATGCCAAAAGGGCATTCAGGTAAATTGCCCTGATCGGTACTGGCCACCTCCTATTCGGTATAAGCTAGGCCTCCCGAAACAGACCTCATTGATATCGATGTTGAGGTCACCGATACCGACGCTGACATCCCCGGTACCAGCCAATAGGGTCCACCCCTATAAATTCAGCATTCGCCCCTCATTTCAGGCACCTCTTGTTGCTTGATTGAACACTTCTTAAGTTTCAACAACTCTCATTCACCCTTTGCAAACGTTTCTAAGGCTATATAGTCAGACTTTACTCTTCTTACTTAGTTGAGTTAAAGCCCGATTTGGTTCTTAAAAGTCGATCCTTTCGACTTTCCATCACACTTTAGTCTTCCTTAGACCAAAGCTATTTAATATATAATATAAGACTATTTTCGGGTCCTTGTGCCCTACCTTTGCTATTTGGAGAAAGATTCGACCTCTTGGTCATTTATCATCGTGGAGTTACGCAACAGCACTCTGGCGCCCCCCGACCTTCAAATCCCTCGACCTAGGTATAATCACTAAACTCAAACTTTGTCAATTAAGCCCGGTCCATCCAGTATATAGCTTGCTTTAAGCCCGATCCGTTTGGTAAACCATAAGCCCATTCTAAGAGTGACACTTCAAAATACTACCATCCTAATCGATGGTAGAACTTCGTGCACCCTAATCCTCATACAAACGAGGTATGAAGCCATATCTAGGATTTCAGCCTAGGTAGTGCACCCCCAATCGAAGTGACCGGTCGAGATCTAGGGGCATGTGTCGCACGATCTAGAATCCTCGATAAATGAGGCTAGAGTCGAGCATCCCTCCGAATTGCACTATTTATTTATTTATGCTTTTAATAAACTATATTTTAATATTATCATGCATTATAAGTATGATCATGCATCTATCACTGTCATCCATGCAAACAATTATTTTGATTACTTTACTAGTTTTCAAACTATCGATTCATATGAAAGAAGCCGAAAATCTAGTCCCCAAACCCAATGATTTGAGGCTAGTGCATTTTATCGTTAAGGCAAACTAAAATGGAGTCAATCACGGGGTTTTTAACTTATATTTTCCCCGAAAAGAAAAAAATTAAGGTGGCGACTCTAAAACATATCGAACACCGTCAAAGTGCTCCAAAGAGCCAATCTGACCACTTAAGAGCTAAACCGAGTCATAACAATCAAAAGAAACCTTTTGCCTAAGTTGGTGGCCGAACATAAAAGGGGG